GCCCCCCAAGAGCGTCGACAATGTTTAATTTCATTCGGAGAGGATGAGTTCACTGTATGTACCATTTATTTTATTTTTCACCGTGGTTTGTTTTGTAAGTAATACAATGTTTTAAATGTATAAACAGTTATTTAAATGAAATATAAAAAAAAAAAAAAAAATATATTACCTATAAATATTTGTACATGGAGTTTTAAATAAAATAAAAAAATATATATATATATATATATATAAAATTATAATAATATATATATATAATATATATATATATAATATATATATATAATTTTATATATTATATATATATATATAAAATTTTATATATATATATATAAAATATATATATATATATATATAAAAAAACTCACAGCATGTATACATTGAGAGTGTACACCTATCATCGTATGCAATGTTGCCTCTGAAAATAACCACCTCTCAGTGAACAAGCAGTGGTGGGGGTTGAGGTAGGGGGTTGGGGGAGAGGGAAGGTAATAAGGCAGCTGAGTAAGGACTGGGAGTCAGTTCACTTCACACCTCCAGTAAAATAACACTTTCTCTTCCTGGATAGAGGTTGTTTTTAGACATAGATGTTTTTATAATTTGATTTTAATTTTTTTTTCTTTTAAATCAATTTTTATTTATTTAATTTTTTAGTAAAGTTTATACTTTAGTTTGATTATTTCCTCTTGTGTATTAATGCATTATTTTTATCATGCACTAGAATTTTTCAATACGCTTATGGAATTAATTCTTTTCGAGGTTCTGGAGTAAATTAAATTTTTCTGTGTATATTTGACTTTGAAATATTCCTAATTCTTTACCAAAGTTTCTTTAGTAATTACGAATCTCAAAACTTTACTATAATTCCTCCATTATCATTCCCAACGTAATCCTAAATATTCTTGTTAACAGATGGCTGTTGCTTTGTTACTTCATATAATGGGGTGTCTTGCTCTAGTAAGTAATCTTTTAATTTTTGTTGACTAAATATTTAATTTCCTTTATCCAGCTTCCTTTTTACACTAAATCCCAATTACTTTCAAAGATCTTTCTTTCCAAATATCTGAACTTTTTACTTTCTAGTCCCTCCCCTCTTATATATTATTTTAAAAAAACCTTCCCCCCCCCCCCCTTCCTTTAACGTAAGTTAAACGGTCACATAACTGAACACCCTCTAAGCACTGCCCTAATCCCTTCCTAAATTTTTCTTACCGTTCTGTTTAAACTTTAAACTTATTCTTCCAGGTAAAGGGCCAAGTCATCAGTACTTCGAAGTTCACCCGCCATCGTTGGGTTCCTACACAACCTACTTCTACTCTCACTGTTCAGGATACAACCCACTAAATACAAATTTATCTTTTTTTTACTTTAAATTTTTTTTTTCTTACATTAATCTCTATCCTTTCCCGCGACTATAAAATCACACATTAAGGGAAACGACTACATCAACGTCTGGATCACGGATCAAACTCACTCGCTCTAACAGTGACAAACCACAAAAACACTGGGATTTCATTCCTCAAGAACCACGAACAGTAACATCTACAATCAGGGTCATTTTTAACACCGGTTTAGAACCTGCCGTTCTTATGTTTCATAACATTCCAAAATAAACTCCTTTTTAATTTGATATCTTCCTACAGGTAGTGTTGTAACGGCTACAGTTGGAGCAAATCCCGTGAGCACTATGGTGTCTATATTCAGCCAGTTTGTTACCGTCACTGACACTATTAAATACTGGCAGACCATAACTCATGTTGACGTCACACATCAGGTACTAGTATTGTGTTGTCCTCGTACTTGTGATTCGACAACTATTCGCATAATTATCCCTTAGTCACTTTTTTACTTTTATCAGATTCATACGGTTCCTGTTGTGACGACGCAGGACTTGCTACAACAAATCATAACTACAATAACCCAAATCGTCACTACTACTGTCACCTCTACAACTGCCCGTTACTATGGTTAATTGTTAAATTCCCATTGTTTAAAAAAAAAATTGTTTAATGCATTTTTTAGTCTTAATCTTAACACCTATAAATTGTGGACACTAAATTTTTAGTCTTGACTATAAAATCAATCCACATTCTGTGCTTTTCCTACTAGGAAATGTGATTTCATTAGTAACAATTGTGCAGAGTAGAATGTTACAAACTAGTATACCTTCGTTCTTGCTGTAACTTAATAAAATAAAACTACTTAACAGTTTTACTTGGCCCAGGTCTTAAATTGTTTAATTTAGATTTTTTTTTTTTTTTTTTTTTTTTAGCAAGTTATACATGCATGTTAAACATTGACAACCTCTACCTAAACATACCTTAAACAGAAAATGGCTACAATCCAACCTGAAATTCTATTCAGTGTATAAAAACTTTATATACATAACTTTGTAAACTAATGCACTGCAGTCGCAATTCTATTGTATATTAGCATTTATGTACATATATGCGAAGATTTAAAAACGCAGTCTCCACATCCCAAAAACATTTGCAACATTGCATACAAGACAATAAATGATGAATTTAGTATAATATATACAGAACTAAACATCCCAAACACATTACATTTTTATATATTTTATTTAAAAAAAACTTTACAGCTTAATAATAAAGTATTAAAAATGGGTACAGTAGGATCCTCAATCCTACACAACATACCGAACAAGTTTTAACACACATTGTAATGGACATAAGAGGTTACCCATATACTTTCACCAAAATTTTCATACAACATACTACTATAATATAAACTATAACTATATAAACTATATAAAATGTAAATTATATAAACCTTTCACATTTGTATAGTTAAACATACTGTGACTGAAATATGACAAAGGTTGACAACCTTCACAGTATATAATCAAGTAATAAACCTACATCACAATCTCAGTTAAAAAAAAGTACATGCTCTGCCCAAAATTAGCCCCTATACAATAAAAATTTTTTTTTATTTGAAACTCGGGTACAAAAAAAAAATTAGGGGTGCATAAAAAAAATGCAACGAGATACCAGGCACATGCCTAGATTCTTATATAAATCAGTCAAAAACAAGGAAAATAAACACTAACAAATAAACAATGACAAAACAAGCACACAGAATTACACACATACACAAGCAATCACGTATTATACAACGGGGTACTTCATCTGGCATATTAACTAGGCGTGGCTTTCCGCCTGCCAACACACAACGTATCCAAGACTTAATCTAAGAACTCGGGGGTTTCCTTATAGTGCACAACAATACGTTAATTTGGGCGACACCACGGGGTTATCATGGACTAAGAATAGGCACTACAGTTCAAAGGTGGATCAGGATGACGCTACCATTTACTACAATGAAAATATTTAATATAACAAAACGAAAATACACTGAATATTGACATTTCAATAAAACACAAATGCCAGCAGCTATAAGTGAACTTATACACTGACAAGATGCACACATTGAAAAATACTACCTCCACATATAGTTCAAGCTCCATCACAGCTTACAGGAAAACAAACTTGCATATATACATATATTATTGAAAAAGCACACGGACACGGCATAAAGTATAAACGGAAATAAGAAAACTTTTCAACTGTGCTAGGAAGCACACCATATACAAAAAGTACACCATTGACTTGTAATTGAGGCATAAAAGACGAGAAACATTCCTAAAAGTTGTATATACAAAGCACGTAAGATATTTTGTCACACGTTACATAGGAGACGCACAAAATCTGAGAACACAAAACATTCACGCACTTGACAAACACAGACACAGCTGACCAGACCGTTAGATTACCCACTAAAACACTCACAACCATCTCAAATCTCGTAACTCCAAGGCTTTATTTTCAGGCGGGAAGTCTCTCTCCCATCTCCCCTCATAAAACCAACCTATTTCGACATTTTGTACTATAAATCGTCCCTGCTAACACCCTAATTCTACTGTTACCATCAACGTGCCTCATAGCCCATGACACGAAAATGTAATCGGCCACAACATACAAACACCGCACGTTGTACACGCAAGTCAACCCCACCTACATCAAAACTCAACGCCCGGAGTACCGACAAACCTCCCCCCCCCCCCCCACCCAACGCAAAACCCCACTGAACCACTCTCGTACCATACCCTAAAGTCTCGCAGAAATAAAACATGAAAAGCAGATTCCTCCTCCCGCATACCGACAACCCCAGTCTTCCTCCAAACGCCTATTATACAACACCACCCCAAGACGGCAAGATTCCATGTAAAAATTTAAAAACCACTTCCCGTACTTGAGCAGGCAGACGCAACTGTTGAACTCGCCTCCATATATCACCCCACGCATACATGGGATACATTCCTTCAACTCGCACCACTACCTCTCTACCCGCCCTTTCTAAGGTACATAATTTTACACAGCGCACGTCCCTCGTGTTCAATAATACGCAAAGCATCGCGTCGCACCAAATTAAATTCCTCCCTCTACCACCTGCGCAGGTCGTGATAAAATTCCTTAACCCGCCATGCATCCCACCCAGTAGGAGAAAAACGACGCTCACGTAACATGCCATGACACGAGCCTCTAGAGGAATGAGACCCAACCCTCCCTGATGCAGTGGTGTCTCCCCCATCGCTCTTGTGAGCCAATCGCATCCAGAACCCCACAAAAATCGATAAATTCTATGCAAAAGACTTTTTGACGTCCCCCTGCAACAGATACAGTGCAGCAACGTGCCATACTTTGCTATAAAGCAGGACATTAATGACCACCGCCCTCTGATGCAGGGTTAAATGTCGCGGCCGTAAACTATTTAAGCGTCCCAAGACGCTATGTACAACCCTCCCCGAATTGCACGCCATCATCTGATCAACCTCCCGCATATAATGAATACCACATATAGTGATACGATCAACCACAGTCCACCCCTCTGCATCCGCCCACTCCCCCAACTCCATAATTTTCGATTTTCTCTATTAACACACATCCCTGTAGCCTTGCCAAATATGTCTACAAGTCTCCCAACAAAACCCAATTGCTCCCGTGAACGTAATAACACAGTAGTATCATCAACATAACCCACAAGGGTTGGTCGACCACTACTCGGACCCAACGATGTCTCTATTCCCCGCCCACAAACAGCCCAGTAAAAAGGGTCCTGCATACATGCAAAAAACATTTGAGACATGGGGCATCCCTGACGAATGCCCCTGCTCATGTGTACAAAAACGCCTAACTTGCCATTAATTTGTACTTTCAAAACCCGCTCCATTGTTACAACGAACGGGCCCACTTGATCTCGTTTTCAAAACCCTGCCAATTCCCATAAATTTCCACAGAACCCATCTTTCCACACTAACAAAAGCGGCTTCGCCATCTAAAGCCAAACACCACCCCCACCCCTCACCCCCGCATTACTCAACAAACTCCCTGATATCCCATGACCGACATACATTGACTACTGGCACACCAAACTGACTCTTATGATTCCTTATCAGACACCTTTCATATTCTATTCATCAAAATTTTCGCATATAGTTATTAGTCAACTACACATAACGATATGGGACGGAAGTCCTTAATTGCTAACGGCACATCAACATTTCCTAACTAAGAGCAACACCGCCGAAAACGCTGAGACAGGACTAACACCCCCCTCCTTCATCGCATTGAGTTAAAAGCGAACCTAAAAGTCCCATATTACCTCCCTATGTTTGATATAAAATTCACGAAGGGATGCCATCAATGCCTGGAGCCTCCCCTTACTCATTCCTTGTAGTACCTCCCACACCTCTGCCTAAATATAGGGCCCACCCATAAGAAGCGACATAAAACATTAACTCTTCATTGGTACGCCTCATCCCCAAATCTCTGTCTCGCTCTCACTCACGTCTTACTTTGCATCTGGATCTTACTCCAAGTATCGACATAAAACTTAGCCCCTCAGTTGTTGTTAAGACCTGTCCCTCACTTTACCTTGTCAAATTCATCCAGCACCACTAAACTCGCAATTTCAGTCCATTTTCGCCTTTGCTGACCTTTTGTAATACGCAATCAGAACGGCTTGTCAACCCCACAAAGCCTCCTCCACCCACTCGAAATGCGCGCTCCACGAAAACCTGATTTTTCATTACTTGGATTGTTCATTAATAGCATCGATTCTCATCCACTGGTAAAACCCCAGATGCCTCTCCTGTGCATAACATTGTCCGTAGATGGACCCTCCAGGTACCTCTGAAAACCCATACTCCAATGCGAGTGGCCTCCCTTACGCATACCGATTCCACATAATCCTTAATTCGAGGCTTTCACAACCTCATCCCACTGTCGTACTAAATCCCGATCCCTCCCAAGAGTCCACTCCCATATGACGCCCAAATCCTCGAATAGTTCCCTATCACATCCGCACTTTGTAGCATCCGCTTATTCATTTCCAGACATCGCCTATAAAACTGATGCGGTGAGACCTCCCCCAGTCAGATCGAGCTCCACAAAAACTCCCCGGTGGTTGGAGAAAAAAGACGTTCAATACACGCACATTGATTACGACCACCCGCCGAGACACATACCCCATCTAAACACTGCCATAGCCCCTACCACGAAAAGTATGCTCAAATTCCCCCTCTTCAAGGGGGGCTCCTTGGCGTGGTTGAAGAGGCTCTTGGTCTGAGGATTAGCCCCTGTCGGTCTTCTTCTCAGACCGAACCTAATTACGCCCCCATTCTTCCTTCTCCCCCTCCCCCTATCCCATCCTCCCCCCATCCTCCCCCCTTTTTTTCATATCCTCCTCTCCTCCTCTCACCCCTCCCATTTTGCCCTTCCTCTTTTTAGCCTTCGTTATTTCTCCCACAGGCGCGCTAGTATCCTAGGTAGGGGAAAGGACAACCGGGTCCATCCCATTTCACGTTGAGGTTTCTTGGCGGTGGCGTAGTTTGCCGTGGAATCTGGATTGCCTAGGGATGTCCGCGATCCCCTCTCCGGTATCCCGGAGTAGCTTTGGTGTCTTTTGGGCGACGGGTGATCTCTGGAAGCCACCTTTCGGCTTCGGGTGTGGTGCTGAAGGAGGTAAGCTTTGTGGGCGGGATCTTCCAGCCGCCCTCTTTTGTCCACCGATGTAGCTCGGCAGATGTGAGGTTGCTATACCCAATTGCGTGGTTTACTGGCATGAAGGGTAGGGTATGACCGGGTCCATGCTGCATCTGCGCTACTAGCTGTCCGAGTCCTC